ATGCTGAGGGCACAAACCTTATTTTCAGGGTGTGAGAGCTGATGCAACTAGACCAACCAGTTGTTTCACAGCAGCCAGTTAAGCACTGTTTGGGTTTGCATAGCAAGACAAGGGGAGGGATCTTATTATCCCTCCTTCACCTGTGACAGGGCTGATGCAGACCGACACATTTGAAGTCTCAACTGATTTTTGATTGTCCCTTCTGGTTTGCATGTGGGGAAAATCTCATGCCTGTTTATTTGTAGCACAGCTTTTGTTGATGTCGGGTATTGCTGCAACTGCTCAGCACTTCAACAAACCCACACTCGGTTACCTAGAGGGAGACAGCAGAAGGAAGAATAAAATAATTGACTAGCTGTAAAAACTTACATGTAAACAGCACAGAAATTATTCTATATGAGGCATTTATTCTTGTCCTGAAAAAGAATTTCAGCCACTTTGATTTGGTTTGGTTTTGTTTTGTCCTTTTCCAGATCCTTGCATCATTCGTGGCCTCCTGTTTGTTTATTATAATCCCCACTCTGCATTGATGAAGTGGGAGTGTTGCTGAAGGCTGTTATTGCAAATAAGGCTTAGTAAAATGAATATGGGCAGGAAGAGCAAGTTAACGTAATGCAGGCAGTTTTTGTTCTACAGTGTCCTAATTTTTTAATCCTTCTCTTGGCACAGATAGTATCTCTGAAGGTAACTGGCAACCATATCAGCTACTGGAGCCAAAATAATGTATAGGAACTTGACTGCCTATCAGTTGTAGCCCAGAAGCCAGGCAGGTAGTTACAGTTCATGCAGAAGGTGTAAATTGTTGCCCCTTCTGCTATTCAGAATATACTTGTTGACCTTCCCACTGCTGATTTTCTTTTGGCATTAATACACTTTTCTTTTCCTGGGGTGGGAATACAGAGAAATGGCTTCCTCCCACCCCTTTCCCTCTGTGTTCCACTGTTACTCATGACACTGTGAGCTCTTGGATGTACGACACAGCAGGACAATGGTCCCAAACAGGGACCTCCATAAGCTACCCTAACACCAAATACTGGTGGCTGTAAGAGAGAACATTCAGGTTCATCCTCAATTCACAGCAGTTAACGCCAGCAAGCTCCTTGCAGGAGACATGCAGACAGCGAGGAACAGTGAGAAACTATGGTCTTTTGTAACAACTCACCTTCAATATTTGCTTTGGAGCCCTCATGCTTTTCCTAGTTCTTAGTTGACTTAAATTACTTATACAGACTATTTGTATAAAGATCATATGCCTAAGAGGGATCAGAAAATTCTACTTATGTTAATTTATAGATTATACAATAACTGTATCTGTGACTGCAGCCAAGGACTTTTCCTGTTGCAAATGATTTCCAGCTTTAGCCAAGCCTTTTAATAGTAAACACCAGCAGTGCTGGTTTGTGTCCGAGAGAGGGTGCTAAAATAAAATATTTACTACAAAAACTTCAGAGCTGCACAATTGCTTAATTCAGTGCTTCCTCCTGCATAAATTTATTTTGACTTAGTTCTTATTTTACTTGCTCGCAGCTGGCAATTTTATACAGGCATTAGCTTTAGGACATATTACACCAGCTGTAGTTTCAAAGCTGAAAATAGCATTTAGAAAGAACTAACCACACCAGAGAAAAACAAGGGGAAAACTCCCAAATTTTCACTTCAGCCTGATTACTCAGATTTGATTGCGTGCAGTTGTATTACTGATAGTTCTAAGTTAATAAGATTAACAAAAACTAACAAAAGTTAACCGAAGGAGGAGATATTTAGGTTAGATACATAGAAGATATTCTTTACTGTGAGGGTGGTGAGGAACTGAAACAGGTTTACCAGGGAAGCTGTGGATGCCCCACCCCGCTAGGGGCCAGGGGCCAGGGCCAGGTTGGATGGAGCCTTAAGCAAGCTATTCTAAAGAATGGTGCCCCTGTTTATGACAGAGAGCTTGGAACCAGATGATCTCTAAGGTCCCTCCCAACACATTCGATGATTCTATAAAATTCTGTCACACTGACTTTGTAACTCCCCTCACACTGACTTTGTAACTCCCCATGGCACCACTAGCAAAATTGAAATCTGCAGATGCATAACCATTGTGCTGTGCCAAAAACTTAGAAAAAGAATGGATAACAGAAGAAATACATTCTCTTTCATCTGAGCTAGATGCTCAGAGACAGAAGGACATTTTGCCAGTGAATTAGATAGAGGCTGCTGGCAGAAAAATTTTGTGAAACAGGATATCCTGAGTTTAAATTCCAAGCTTTGGAAGAGGTCATGGTCAGGTCAAGAGCAGTGACTGCTAGTGGGTGACATGGCAATGGGAGACGGAAAGACTTTTCTTTCCTGAACTAAAACTTTCTCCTGCTGATTGAAACTTAGTGGCAGCTGAGCGTTGCTGGTAGTTGACTGATCAGTGATACCTTGTCCACCTTGTTTCCTACTGAGTTGTAAGGCCAGTGGAACCTGTCAGCTCTGAACTCATTGCAAATCAGAGGTGTTTTTTCTAAGATACAGACATATCCAAAACCTGACTAGACACCATCTTGGGCAGCTGCCTGTAGGAGACCCTGCCTCAGCAGGTTAAGACCAGATAATCTCCTGAGGTCCCTTCCCACCTCAACCAGTCTTATTCTGTAAATTAGGTAGTTTGTGATAAAGTGCGACCTAGAACCACCCCTAGACCAGCAGTGCTCAAGCTAACTCCCTTTGGTGTTGCACTTTGAACAGTGGTGGTTGTGTAACAGCATTGCCCCAGAATGAAGTGCTGTTTAAACTGCTTCCTTGTACTCTGTTTGTTTTCAGGGAATTTCAGCTGGCACTAAGCAAATCTATTTGTCCATATGTCAACTTTTCTGTCTTTTATCTCAGGACAATATGCTGCCCAATAATCACTGAAAGCTGGCTGGCAGAGGTCTGCTCTGCTTAGTGCCTGGGATCCAACCAAATGCATGGCATCACTCTCCCTACAAAACACATGAATCCAAATCCTGCCACAGCCCTTAAATTTCCAAACTCAGATCATTAGAGAGGTGTTAAAAATATCCATAATGCTATTACAGCTTCTCTTAGATGCCACCAGAATCCTATTTGTTCTTCACTGGAGACACTATTGTTTTTCTAAAAAAGGAAGTTGCTACTGTAGAAGAAAACTAGTTAAGGAAGAAAACTATCAATTGCTATGAATATAATGTGTCAGGAACAAGAAACTGAAAAAGTTAGAAATGTGACATCTTTACCAGTCTTGAATATATGTTTCCTTTCTGTTTTAGATAAAGAAGAATAAGAATAAAGACAAAAATTCCTTGTATTACCATATTCTTAGGTCTAGATTTGGCTTGACACACTAACCCAGATTATTTTGGACTTTAAAGAAATTGGAATAAAAATTGCAAAGTCAAAACATTGCAATGCACTTGGTCACTTCTATGTTCCTCTGTCAGTCAGCTTCCAAACTGCTCCTTGCTCTACAGCACCTACAGAGTCCTGAATATTTTGGATAAAGAGGACAATTTTCTGTTTAGGAAACAGCTTCTCTGGGGGCAAAATAGGTATGAGAAAGTATTTCCCCTCAGCATTTCAAGATGGTTTCTAATGACATACAAAGAATTAAATTAATAACCTATGGAAAAGATAGGGGAAAAGTTGGCAGGTCAACCTCAGGAATTGCGGCAGTTAGTTTGTACTAACATGCTGGAATTTGGAAGTTTGAGCAAACAAGTTTGTGTCTGGAAAAGTGGGTTAGAAATTACATAAGGACACGCTTTCATGTGAATCTCCTGGCAGTATCGTTTCTGGGCAGGCAGCAGCCCTGAGAAGATTGCCATCCTCACTGCCTTTGGTGGACCTCTGTGTCTAGATCCAAGAGAAAGCAAGGGCTGAAGTAGTACATGGACAAAGAGCCAATCAGGAAGGAAATCTCGAGGTCCAGAACATCAGTGCTACATTTTGGAGAAATATCACATCTGTACATCAAGTATGCTTGAGTTTGGGAAGATGACACCAGTCCTGCAGCACACATGGTCTCCTTAACTTATTTCTGCTGTTTGTCCCACTGATGTGGAAACACATCTCTGAGCCCTGGTCAACCAAACTATGAATACAGAACTGAGAAGGCAGCTATGGAAGTCCATGTATGGAAACATAATTTCTTGACAAATTTTCCTATAGAAAATAAAATAAAAATGAAAAATATTTATAGTTTTTAAGAAATATTATTTTGATTTCATATGCCAAATATTTCTTTATTAAAACCAGGGATAAAGAAGCAGGAAATTTTCAACCAAATTTGGTAGTTTAAATAAATGTTTTATAGTAGCTGTTAGACTTTGTTAGCACTTGGAACAAAAATGAGTTTTGAAGGTGTGAGATTTTGTGCTTGTTACACCAAGCACAAAGCCACTTCCTTCCCTGACTCTTTTTCTGTTGTGTATCAGAGGCTGAGTTGTGATGGGATCAATAGCTCCCGTTCTGTGTGATTTTTGTTTCCTTCCTAGCCAGCCTAAACATGTTCTTAGCAATCCCTCTGTGTAACAGACAGATCTCCTGGGAGATGCCACAGTTAGATTCATAGAATCAGTTAGAGACCTTGGAGACAATTGAGAGCAAGCGGTGACTTGCGGTTAGGCGGTGGATCTCACTTTGGCACAGTGTGTGCAGGATTCAGGGCTTCAGGTTAGAGAAGTTCAGCTTGTAAATACGAGTGCTGGGCCACAGATCAAACCCAAGCTGAATCCAACAGATTCAGTAACCCTGTCTGCTCTCAAAGTGGCCCGACAGTGAATGAATCTTCCCGACAGAGTAGATTCCAACAAAGGCAAACGCCAACCATCTGCCATGACAGCTGGGTGGGTGATGGCATAGCACCACAGAACCTCTCCTCCTGCTCCGATACTGCTCCCCACCGCCTCCCCATCCCTCCGCTTTGCTCTGCCCTCCCTCCCGCCCCGTGCCCGCCCTCCCCGGGCCGGGAGGAGGCGGTGCCTTATAGGGCGGGCGCGGGGGCCGCGCCCGCAGAGCCGCGCCGAGCCCGGCGATACCCTGGACAGCGCCGCCGCCATGGTGAGCGTCCCCCTGCATCCCCTGCCCGCACACGCCCGCATCCCCCCGGGGCTGCCTGCCTCCGGGCCGCTGCCCTCCCTCCTCCCCGACCCCCGCTCCCCCGGGGCCGGCAGAAAGCCCCCGCTGCCCGCCCTGCCTTCCTCCCCCGCCGCTACCCCCGCTCCTACGGGCCACGTTCGGAGCGCGATTTTTCGGGGGGAAAGGGGGGCATGGCCTCAGATGCCCCCAGCCCCACGCGAGGCACCCGAGCTGCCGGCGCGGGTCGGGTGGAGCGGCTGAGCTTGGGCATTATAGGGAAGGAGGGAGGAACAGAGGGACCCTTAGGGAGCGGGGGAGGAGGGATGGGGGAGAGGGAGCCTCGGGGACACCCGCGGAGCACGGGGAGCCGGGCGGCGTGCGGGGACAGGCACGTGGAGGATCCCGGTCCTGGGCGGCGGGAGGGATGGAGCAAGGGATGCCAGCGCCTGGGCATCCATCTCCCCGCCCGGGCCCTTGCGCCCTGCCCCGCTCCGAGCAGGTGCATTCTGCTCTGCTCCGAGGTGTGTTCGAACGCGTTACATAAACCGATTATTCCCGTTAATTTGTTATCTTAACAGAAGCTCTTGCTTTAGCTATTCAATCTGTAGTAGAACACTTCCTTTTTTCTTTTTTTTTTTTCCTTCCATGTAATGAATGAACAATGGAGTTTTAGATTCTAGTTCAGCATTTAAAAGAGTTGAAGTGGAATAATGAAGTCACCTCTTTAGTGAGCAATGCCAATTCCCCATAGCACATTGTGTCTTTGCAGTCATAGTAAGTTTCCCAAAGGGGTTTATCCTGTTTATAAACAGCAATGCATTAAGTGTACTGCCGACCTTACAAAGTAGGACACTATCAAAGAAGTGTTTCACAGCCTTAAATTTTGAGGCACATTGGGATGAACAATTTGTCAAATCTTGTTGTATCAGAAGCTTGAGACACGATTAACAACAGAGCCTAGTTTTTTTAATACAATTTAACAACAAAAATACTTTTTTCCCCAAAAAAATCTTTACATCATATATAGTAAATTCTGCCTTCCTTGAACAAAAATCAGTTTGAACCCTTCCTTCTTCCATAAATCCAGACATGAATAGTCTATTAAAATAGTCATTCTATGAACTAACTTCAGTCCTCTTTCTAAAAGTCATGTATCCACCTGCTGTCAGTCTGAATCTGTTTCTCCTATATATTCTATTTGCCACCAACTCAACTTTGGGATGCTAGATACGAAAAGACCTGAAATTCTGCAGTAGTTTATGCTGTCTGAGCCCCCCTAGAATGACATAATTGAATTCCTATTTCCTATCAATTTGGAATATAAACACAAAAGCTATGACTGACTTACCATAGCCGCACAAAGCCTAAGTTAATACTAGCCATTGGTAATGTCTTTCTTGTGTCAGAGGAAGAAGGTTACAAAGATACCAGTGTTGCAGAAAGTAATGTACATTATTTATCAGTAATTGGTACAGGTAATACCCAGGTGCTCAGGAGTACTGAGGCAGCTGGAAAGAAAGGTAAAATACCCAGAACTAGTTAAAATGTTTCATTTTGAATCCTTCTAGGACTGAGATGAAGTCAGTTGTACTAGTGCAAATCAAGGAAGCATTAATTGGTAACATAGGCATTGGCAACTTCAAACCAATGGAAATTATATCTGAGACCTACACTTAACCTGTTCTTTCTGGTTCCTAGAGCTGTTCAATTAACCTTGACATTTGTCTTGAAATGGCTGGAAGCAATAACCAGAAGTCACCATTCAGAGCTACATGTGGGTTTGGATTAGCAAATTTTACACTTCTGTATGTCCAATAATCTTTGTATTCAAATGTTGCTGACTTTTCCCAAGTTTTGTTACTCATACATAAAGGCATTCTGAAGAAAAAATTGCCAATCTGAGAAAGTCCTTGAAGTGATATAAAGGCTGAAGGTTACTTTGGCTCTGAAAGTTGGAAAGAGTGTCCTTGGAATAATAGTTACTGAAACTAATACTGAGCTATAGATGAAACCTGTTGCAATGATGCTAATGCAGGGTTACAAGTTACAGCACATCGATTTCTAGATGGACCTGGAGTTTGGGGGCAAGGGGTTATGGGGACATCAGAGTATACACCAAAGGTATCAGGAGCAAATGTAGGACAAACAGATTTTTGGCCCAAGCAGTGGGAAGATTGACTAATCATTTCCTTCAATAGTATACAAATAGAAATAAGCAGGTTTCTGTTGCTAGTGTCCTTTAAAGTCAACTGAGAGCTTTTTCATCATCCAGAGCGTTCAATAATCGTGATTATTTGTAGAAAGTTGCATCAGAAAACTTTTTTGTCTGTTTGTTTTGAAACTACATTTTGCTGAAGCAGCAAACCATTGTCATCACAAAGCATTAAGTATTTCCTCATCATCCTCACCGTATGAGGGCAGCCACAGTGGCTTGGTTCTTCTGTTTATGTAGTTCACTGCAGCTCTCCTTGCTTCAGTGAATCTAGGTCAAATTACACTGGCTCAGGATTTGGCTGCACCCTTGAACTTTAAACCGATTACATATTTTGATTTGTCAGTGTGTTTTCCATGGGGTCAAATCCCACTTCCATGGAGTAAGAGGGTGTATAACATTGCACAGTCATGGCAACTTATGCTTACCAAGAAACTAGTAGCACTAAGGTAAGCATAAACATGAGGACTGTATTTAGATATTATAGATACTGTGCCAGTATCTACCTCTACAAGAATCCTGTGGTAGAGGGAGAGACAGAAGCTAGAATATGCCTTTCATTTCCTTTAGAGGCTTTGATACCCCTGTAATCTGAAGTCAACACAGAAAGACACCTAACTCTGCTAAGCATTCATAAGCATCATGGCCACCATATCAGCATATGGACCTTAAAATGGGCATATACTGAAAGCAGAACATACTCAAAAAGCCCTAGAGAGAGAGCAAAGAAAATGCCTCTTCTTTGTTGACAGTGGCCAAAATCAACCCGTGTCTCATTGTCCATTGCTGTTTGTTAGTTTTTCTGAATACTGCATCAGAACATTGCAAAGACAATGTTCTAGCCCCTGAACAGTGTCATGCAAATTGCAGGAGAATGTTTTTCAGCAGAGATCAGCTCAGCACAAATACCTGATGACACAACATCCAGTGCTACAGCACCCACAAGATCTCTCCAGCTCCAGCAGAGTGAAGAGGAAGCAGACTGCAGCAGCCCTGCCATCCAGAAACAGAGCAGGAAGGCAGGAGTTTGCCAGCTGACATAGAATTAATAGGCTACAAGAAAGCATGCTGAGAAACTGCATATAGAACAGGAAAAATAGGCTCTACTTGCATAGAAATTCAAGAAGAGACACTGAATCCTTTTGCACATGGTGGAATTGATTAGGAAAAATACCTTCCAGGAACTGAAGTAAGAATCCACCAATTCATTTGCATAGTTACAGATGCCTGCTTACTAAAACCTGCATGCTACCCTTCGTGTTGATCCCTCTCATCTCAAGGAAGATCCTTTGATTCTTGAAGACTGATCATTGTATCTTCATTACAAGCAGTCTGACCTGTGAAAAGAATCACTGTCCTCTTGTTCATCAGGCATTTGATTTTACATTAATTTAACTTTATAGCATCTCTTGACTTTATTGAAGAAAAAGGCTAATAATAGGCAAACACTTTAAATTTGAACCTCTGACTCAATCACAAGTTGGAAAAAAACCTGTAATAGTGTTTTCTTGAGGTATTAGTAAAGTCCAAAGTAAGGCAAATATAAAGGGCTGGTTTATTCCCTGATCCAAGCAAAATTCAAGTGTAAATAAATAGAATAATATAATCATTCTTCCTGGTGCTTTCATGCTATGCTATATGACAGTTTTGTTAAACACTGCCTATAAAACTGATTTAAAAGCTGAGACATTATTAAGCCTCATACAAACAGAGTCTGAAGTCTGTATTCAATGATAAAATAATATGTCACAAGTGCAGTCTGATTTGTAATTAAAGAAGGTAATGGAGAAGGGAGGGAAATTATGAGGATGGAATGAAGTGTACAATTCCTTGTCCCAGCCAGAGAGCTGCTGGGATGAGCCTGCCTGGTGAGGCAGTGGTGGAAAGGTACAAGGAGGATTGCCCAGGTGGACAGAGAAGAAACACCCTGGGATGTGCAGCTCTGTCACATTATAAATGCCACACTCCAGACTTTGAGCACACCAAATTTATCAGCCAATTTGTGAGAGCCTGGCAACAGTGGAGCTTGTAAATCCATTATCTGCATACACCCTCCATTGCTTGCCTTCTCATATGCTAAATATATGGGCCACAATATCTGAGTGACTGCATCTTTACCATGGGACTGCTGCACAGCTGACAAGTAGAGTACAATATGAAATGAAGTGAATATTTATGATTTCTGTGGGGCTCCTTATCTACCTAACAGCAAAAGCCACTTTTAGTTTTTGAGGAATATTCAAATTCAGATTTAGGAGGGTAATTAGAACTCTACATCTTCAAGAAATGACAACATTATATTTGCCTTAATACTGAAAGTACTTTGACTTGATGTCAGAGTCTAACAACAACAGAGTGATAATTTTAAATATTGAGTTAATGTAGGTAATGACTTTTAAACTGCACTGAATTTCCCTTTTTTCGGTCAAAACTGATTGTGATAAAGTGGTAGAGGTCAGCTCCCCATACTGAAGGAAATCAAACCCTCTCTGGTAGAAATTTATATACAAAGATATGTAATTAGAGAATAAAAAAATTAAGATCATTAAGTTTTCATCATTGTTTGGAGAGATTTTGATTTTTTTCACCATAAGGAGGACAGATATGGAAATGAAGCAAGAAATAGTTCATATTCTGTGTCATCATTTGAAAACCAAACACAGCGAGAAATGAAAATTAGAAGTAGGGTGACCAAGTTCCAAATAAATATCCTAAACCCAAGCATTAGGAGCCACAACCAAACCATTCTTCCCCTAGTTCTTAGAGAACC